ATATAATAGTCATGTAGTCATAAACTGACCACTGATGAAGTACCAGTGGATGACATAAAATATGAATGGAAACTGCACTGTAACTATAATGCAGCCATAGTAACTGTATACTTACAACAGGTACCAACAAGGTCAGCGTTTCTAATAAGGTGGCAACTCTGTAATTTAAAAACCTGCGACCTGGAAGTGAGGACTAAAGCCTTTGACAGATTTGAAGATGGTTTGGAGGTGTCAGACCATTCGCCATGTGTTCTCTCACCTCGTTAGTGAACTGAGGTAGACGGTCCTGTTAAGACCGAGGGGAAGGATCAGACGTGCTGAACTCAAGGCTCCCAATAATCATGACGGGTCTTGCTCAGAGAGAGTTTAACATTAGTTTTCTTGTCGGTGTTGAACTCAGACACCACTTGGAAAATGATCCTAGAGTATACTGGAGTCAGAACTTTCTTGATAAGAGGTTAATGTGCTGCCATTCCATTTCCGTGTGTTTGTCCGCTGCTGTTTTTTGTGCTTTCCCTCTGTTTTATGCTGCATTTTGTGCAGGTCCATGATTGGCCACATGGGGTGCTCTCCTGAATAAGAGGTCACAAAGCATCACAGTAATTTGAGTTTGTTATAGAAAGCTAGATGGATGGATGGATAGATGCATAGATACTGATGGATGGATGGATGGATGGATGGATGGATGGATCACTTTATTAACCCCAGAGGGAAATTCTGCTACTGCAGCAGTACAAAGCAGTAAAGAGCAAAACAGCAAAATGAACAGGAGCAAAGTGTTGCCCTACACTATATACAGATATATAAAAAGAAAGTAGAGATAAATTATAGAATAAAATATACTAAACAATAAATAATAAGAGTAATGTGTGGATGCATAAACAAAGTGTGCAATATGCAATATTAGTGGACAAATAAATAAAAGAGCACTCTTAGTCATTGTAATGTCTGCAAATTTTTTAGTGCTGTAATTTGAATGTTCCTTGTATACAGAGTTTCAATCAATACTTAATTTAGTCAATATCTCAATACTTCAAAAATCAATACTTCAGTACTTCAGTAATCTGTACTCCATCTGAAATATTCCATGTGCAATTCGGGTAAAATATCCGTACAGTGTAAATATTTTTGCTTCTTTATTTATAATTGTTTATATTGTTAATTTTGGTGAATAGACTTTATGTGAAGGATAGACATACACATTACATTTTTTAATCTTATATTTTTAATCTTTAGTATTTTATATATTGTCTATATAGTAACAAGTAATAAATTGTAACCTCGTTAAGTAATTAAAAAGCTTAATTACTTTGTTAATTCTCTTCTTGTTACTCTTCTCTTGAGTGTCCTGCTCTGCCTTTGCTGCTGCAGCACTGTGAATTCCCCCACTGTGGGACTAATAAAGGACTATCTTATCTTTTATCTGATCTCTTCATTTGTAAATGTGTCAAAGGTCTTGGAATTGTGGTGGCAACTGCAGGCTTTGTGTTATAGCATGTTATTCTTAAGGGTGGTAGTGTTACGACCCCTGGTGATAACAGTCTTTGTGTGTTTTTCCCTCTGTTTTATGCTGCATTATGTGCAGGTCCAAGATTGGCTTCACAGGGGTGCCATCGTGTATAAGAGGTCACCGAGCCAGTACCTGGGAGACGTTCAAGGCATTGACAGTATATATACCTGAACCCACTTATCCCATTGTGTGGGATCAGGTGAGGCCATTCGTGTGATGTCCTGATTGGCTTATCATGCGGACCGCATGAGACCAAACTGTGGGCAGGAGGGACCATAAATCATCGTAACCATTCAGAATGACAGTACTTTCAACACATAATGAAAATAAAGCCAAATTGGTTGTGGCTTCCTCCATCATTAGTTGTTAGAGACGGAGAAGTTGAACGAATAGGATAAAGATGGGAACAACAGAGCAAGAGAAAGACAAGTGATAACAAAGCCTCAGCTAAACATGTATTAAAATACTGCTTATTAATAAATAAATCAATTTAAATAATGTATTGTAATTATTGTGTTGCATTGCCACATTATTGTAGTAGTAGTAATAAACAAACTCCATACTTTGTATTCTTGAGCAGCTTCTACTCCAAATATCACAGCACAGTCTTTCACAATCGCAGCTATATCAAATCATTTTACATACTATGGTGAATTTATTTTGAAGCCATAAAGTGATTGACAGGCCTGTAGATCAAATAACAGACAGCCCAGTCTCTCTAGAAGAGGACAGAACCATAGGGTGATGTAGAAAAGCTCTGGTGTAGCTTTATTTTTGGACTGATATCAGCCTGAAATGAATGAAAGTGAATGGAAAGCTTATTTCAATTATTTCAAATTTCTTATTTATGGTCCACTTGTGCCTAAGCAGAACTGTTTTGGAAGGTAAAAGCTGGGGGACTGGTTCAGGGCTGACCTGGAAGTATAGCTGTCCATTGCCTTGTTCAATTCATGTGAATAAATTTCGCTTTATTTCCAGGTTTGGGTAGCATTAAAAAGCTTTACTTGTTTTATTTATTATTTTGGCTTGGCTCATCCCTGAAGCTACACCTTCCTATCCAGCATAGCAACTTGCCATTGAGGAAAATATATATATATATATATATATATATATATATATATATATATATATATATATATATATATATAATATGCTATACGTGAAGCCCTGAGAGCCCTACACTAAAAAAGTCAATGTAATGCTTAGTGAACACAGTAATGAGAGAGTTTTCTAGACTAACATTTAACCAAACAAACAACTAAGTCAGGCTCTTAGAATGATCAAATAATTGAAAATTAAATCAACAGGTTATTCAATTTCTGAAATAATTACTTGCAGCCCTAAAAGAAACACAAAATCTTTCTTCTTCCTGTTCCATTTCATTTCACCCCATCTGAAGCTCGTCTCGTTCCAATGCAGGTGGAATATGTCAAACGCTGCTGTCAGACTACAAACAAGTCCATGAGCACAAGCTAACACTGAAACCTCTTCAGACTGAGCAGCAGTGGCCACCTTTACCCCAGATTTCTCCTTTTCAAATCAAAACACAACCTTAAGTCACGCCAGCAGATGTTTCTAAAGGTATATTAGAGTGTGACCTTTCCATTTCCCTCCCTAATTATTAGCACCCTTGGTCAAAATGAGCAAAAAGGCTTTAGAAGGAATGTCCTTGCTGATTGAACGTGATATTGAAAAATAAAACCTCAACCTATAAAACCTCAAAAAAAATTCAACCTTTCAGTTAACCACTAGAAATTCTTCTAAACAAAATCTAATTGGAATATCCCTATATATTTACCTTTTAAAGCACACCTGGTTCTTGATGAGCTCTTAAGAAGACATACTTTCCTTAATAAAGCAGCCAATGGTTTTAAAAAAATATCCTCATACTCACTGTTAAGGGAATTATTCATATAGAAAAACTGTAGCTGTGGTGAACCTGCCGGTCAGAGGTCACAAATGCCCTGCACACGTTGAGGCAAATGCTTTGAGAACTTTCTAAAAGCATCACAGTTGAGCAGTTGCAGGAGACTTTCACATCCCAGGGTGATCAAATCTCTAAAACTTCAATTAGAGGGCACTTCCACGCCTATGTACTATTTGGAAGGCTTGCCAGAAGAAAGCATCTGCTGTCAACAAACCAGAAATACAATCTAAGAATCATGGGGGTTTGACTGGAAGCTGATTATATGGTACAATGAAATAAAGTTGGAGCTTTGGTGCAAAATATCTAGCCATGCGTAAAAGACCCTGCAAAGTATGGTGGTCAGTCTATGATGTTCTGTTCATTCAAATACCCCATGTGTGTCATGGACTTCACCGAAGAGTTTTAACAACATTTGCTTGCTTCTTTCACAAGTTGGATCTTAGGTTGATCCTGATTGAATCTAACAAGACAATGATCAATGTCATACTACCAAATCCACTGACCAAGTTTTTCAATGTTTAGCCAAGTCCTCTCCTCAAACCCCACTGGAAGCCTGAAGAGGACCAAAAATAACATCAGTTGGTGTAGTGCAGTGGGTAACACCTCTGCCTTCTACGCTGTAGACTGGGGTTCAGTCCACTGCTTGGGTAACATCCTACACTATACCAATAAGAGTCCTTGGGCAAGACTCCTAACACTACCTTCACCCACCTGTGTAAAATGATCAAAGTGTAAGTTGCTCTGGATAAGAGAGTCTGCCAAATGCCATAAATGTAAATCTGAATATATCATATATCTCCTTATTTTTCACCTCATCCATGATTATAGCAGAATAATCTGTGCTGTTATCTTAGCAAAAGAAGGGTGAAAGGTATCACACCGAGGTCTAAGTGATCGGCATGTGTATTACAACAACAAAGACATTTTTTCATAGCCTTTTTGTGCAAGAAGACCAGCCACAGCCGTCTATTGTCCCAGAAGTGCTGCAAACCAATGGGCAGGTGTATGTGTGTTACCAAAATAATCTGTGAGGATGCTGTCTTTAATCTCTCCAGCACCTCCAGCAACCTTTTCCTCAGATTTAAGTCTTGTGTCAGAGGAGTAAACCCAAAACCAAGCATGTCCTGCATTGTGTGGAATAGTTAGTCAGCTACCAAAGCTATAGTGCTTACATAGCAACAGGCTAACAGTTGAGCTGTTGGTATAGATGAGCTGTTAGCCAGCTACCTTAGTAAGAGGTAGTTTATTGGATTGGATCTTTACCGAGGGTGTCGTAAAATGTGGAAGGATCGGTATGTCTTACAGTCTGAGTACATCACAAGCAGCCAAGGCTATTCAAGCCATTTCACAAGTCATCTTTGATGAGTCGTGGTGGATTAGGATTATGAGCTGATCGCATGAAGAAGAAGTATAAACAATAACAAGTAAAACCATGTTTGCTGGAATTCATACAGAAGGCTTTGCAGATCTAAACCTTAATGATTTATACCTTTTTACTCAGGTTTCCTTGCATGACTTCAAAGAAATCTGCAGTAGTGAGATTATGCTGAACGTTTGCCTGACCTGGTGGATGAAGACCTGTGCAGATCGAGGGCTCAGCAGCAGGATGGCTCGTCTCAGTGTATCCCGATAGCGGTTCAGTTCTTCTGTCTTCATGGTGCTGAACAGAGTAGAGAACACCTTACTGACGTTCCGATCCACCTGCTGCAGTGACACGTCCAGGCCCATCCGAGACGCCTGGTCCAGGAACCCCCTCAAGCCACGTACATCTGAGAAAGACGGGTGAGAGTAAGTGCACGTGAACTCACGACTGAAATACAAAACGTCCTTGTACAAGAAATTTGACTTGACGATAAACAAAAGCTTCGGTTTGGACGCATTTTACATTTTGCGTTTGTTATTGTAACCTTGATGGTGCTAAATGGTGCTGATAGTATTAAAATTGACCAGTTCAGCCTGTATTGCTGTCATGTAATTAAACAGAGAGTGTCTAATAGTGAGGTAGCGAGTTTGAATCCCCTTATTGGTGATAAGTTATCAATGTCGTCCAATAATGCCGGCCAATTGGTGTGTTGATTGGGCTCTACTCAATGCATTGGATAAACTATTTAATCTGGCATTCCGAAATTAATGACACTGAATCCCCACCTTTAGTTAAGTACAACACAATGCAATACACCACAGTAAATTCTGACCTCGCAATGTGATTGGCTGAGAGGCATTCTATGTGTGGCAGTATCTCCTGACCAACCAAACCTCCTGCCTTATTTACAGCAGACTTACATCAAATTCCAAACCTGTTGTTGCTTCTAAGTTGTTGTTCCAGAACAACTAAACAAACAGGAGTTAGCCAGAAACAAATAGAATACAATACAGCAACCAAGATGGGCTGTGAAATGCTTTACAGACTGACTTTTTTTTTTTTATTATTATTTTAATTTATTTTACCTTTATTTATCCAGGGTAGTCAAATCTGAGCTCTGGCCAAGAAGGCAGGAACCAATCAACAAAGAAACAACATGACCACAACCGACAGAATCAAATCAGGGTCAAAACCAAATTAAAAACAATAATAAACAGAATGATACAGCTCTTTAACAATCATCTTAAAGTCACTCGAGGAAATAAACGGCTCCAGTTTCAGATGTTTCTACAGATAATTCTACGCAGATGGAGCTCTGTAACTAAAAGCCTTGCCGTGTTCAGACCGTATGGATCAGAACATCCAGCTGAATGTAACTACTAGAACGGAACTTATTTGTTGATATGAAAGCAGACAAACATGAAGAAAGCTGACCAATTATTGCTTTATAGACAAAAATTATGATGAGTTGAAAATCTAGCGCCTGTTATAAATCTGAACGCTGAATGATAAACAGAGTCCAGTGAGTGCAGCGTTGTCTTTGAAGTATACCTATAAAAATATCACCATAATCTAGAAAAGGTAAAAACTAGATTTTTTCGTGCCTGTTGAGTAAAGAAAAACTGCTCCTAAAATAAAATCCCAACTTCAACTTTAACTTCATCAATTGTTCCACATGCAATTTAAAAGACAGGTTATCATCTAATATAAAACCCAAATATTTGTAAGATGAAACTAATTCTGTTTTATTCTATTAACAAAATGGCATTCAGGTTAATCTGGCAACTATTGAAAAAGCTGAGCTGAATCTGATATTGTGACAGTGATATGGCTCTATCTGTGATGCAAGAAGGAATCATAAATATTAAAGCACATGTGTTGACATGTGCAGACCTTATTTGCTTTACTTTGTTCTTAATTTTGCAGAACTGCTGTATAAAGTAATACAAATCTCAGGGTCATGTGTTTGTTTATAAATCACAGCTGTGAGTGATTTGTTGTTTGTGATTACACACATGTCGTATGGCTTAATCGTTGCATTTTCACATCCCGGTTTCTGAGGTTTTGTGCTTGGTCTCCTGGTGAAGCATGTAGCTCTCAATAGAATCAGCCAAGTCTTGAACAAACTGTCTATAACTGTCTCTTTTTATGCTTTTGGAAGTATAAAACCATGTCAAACTGGCTCCTCTCTCATCTTCTCAGACAGGCCTCAGAGGCGTGATAAAGCGTAGTGGAGTGAGGCAGGATGGAAGGACAATTAAAGAACAGTCTGGCAGATTAGAACCGTTCATTTCTGCTCTCCGTCCATCCCAGGCCTAACATCAGGAGCCGTCTGGAAAGCCAGTGTCATCGTTTGATGGCTTAATGGTGCGTCGAAGGTTTATGAAGTGCAGTAGCGAAGCTCCTCGTGTGGACGATAAGACGGTCACCCACTCAAAGCGGGCGGGAGGGAGGGGGGAGGGGGCTGGATATCAGTCCTTGAAGGGAAGACAAATGAGGCTTAAAGGACAAAGCAGGCCTTTCAGACTTCTGTCTGTGTCTGACTGCCATGAGTTTTCCTGTTTAAGTGCTGCTACAGATAACGTTCCACTGCAAACTCAATTTAGTTTGTTCTTGTAACGTAAATCTTTCCTGCTTTGTGAAAATGTCTGTGTTTACATGCATTTTCAACAGCCCGAAATAATTCACTCCAGTTGTAGATTGCAGAAAAGCGTTCTCTGAGTGATGTCACAGAAGAACCACTTTTGGTTCCCAAAAGAATCAGGTTAAATGAGATGAATGAGAGAAACCATTTAAAGCTTTAAGAAACCTTCACAGGTTTCTATACCAATTTAAGGGTTCTTCCTAGAACCTCTGCATTATGTGGGTTTTTTTTTAACATATTAATGTTTTATTAATAATGTTTAGTAGCTTTTATGGTTGTACTTGACATTTTGCTCATCCTGTCTTAGACCAAGTTCGTCTCGGTCTCGTCTTCTGTTATAATATAGAATGTAGATCCCAATAACATTGTTTAATCAGCTTAGCTTTAGCTGACTAGTTCACACAGCTGGGTACAGAAACAGCTTCAAGAAAGTCACGTTTGGCACAGTAAAAATCCATCATCCATCATCTAAACCGCTTATCCTTCTGGGTCGCGGTGGGGTGCTGGAGCCTATCCCAGCTGTCGTTGGGCGGAAGGCAGAATACACCCTGGACAGGTCGCCAGTCCATCACAGGGCAGACAGACAGACAGACATACACATTCACACACACAGTCACACCTAGGGGCAATTTGCTCAGTAAACAAACAAAATGAAATGACGGTCTCTTTACTAACTGTTCAATTAGCCATCTTCTGATTCATTCTCCTGATGAAATCACCTGAAAGTATGTCATTTAATGTGATCATGATGCGCTATTGGCGTTTAGATTAGTTGTTTCATGAAACTTAAAGTTAAAATGCTTACAAGTGTTGCAGCTGAGTTTCAAGCGAGTTGCAGGATGTTTTACATTATGCAACTCAAGTGCAATTTAGTTTCATGAAGGTTTCAAGCAACTAAAGTTGCATGAACGTTTCACCATGTAAAGCCAACATAATTCTAACATAACAGGATTATATTGTGGCACATAATCTAAGCTTTAACAGCATATGGCATTTGCTGTGACATGTTTATAGTTTGCTTCTGTTCAAGGTTCAAGGTAAAGTGTTACCATATTTTGTTTCTATATTTTATTTATTTATTTATTTATTTATTTTTTGTTATTCAAAATGAATCTTTTACATGAAAAATAAGCCCAAAAAATGGAAATGTCTGTGTGGCTGTTATCAAGCCTACTCGACTGCTGTGTTACTGTCTGGGCTTCGACATTACAAGAAACCTTCAAAATGCTTAAAGAGACAAAAGAAAAAGCAATTTTTGTTTGTTTTCAAAACAAATTAACCCGGAGTACACAGGGAATAATCAGACTGCCTTCACTGTCCCCCTGCGCTGCTGGTGGTTGTAAGGTTATATTACTTCTTCATTTCTGGCTTTCTCTTTCTTCCTTTGTACTCCAGAGTCAAGTCACTAAATAATTAGTGTTTAAATGGGTTTCTCTCTCTCTCTCTCTCTCTCTCTCTCTCTCTCTCTCTCTCTCTCTCTCATGCACACAGACAAACAGACCACAAAAGACCACATCCTACAACTGACTAAGTGACTCAAACATTGACCAAAAATCCCTTTAGGTTTATTTAGACTATGGGTACTAACATTTATGCCTACAAGAACACTGCAGAGGCACTTGTTTCATATGTCACTGCATCAGGCATAAAGCACCTAAAAGTCAGACCGCTGATTGTATGACCGAGTCTTTCTCAGATCAAAAGATGGTTCTTCAGGGGGCCATAACTAAAGGGCATGGTTACTAGAGCCATGGGTTTTATACAGAACCTTTTCATGCTTATGCATGGGGAAATGGTTCTTCAGATTGATGGAGAATGTGTTGTATACACCAAAAACACCAAAAAGGGTTCTACTGTTATTACGATGTCAACCATATTCAACACACATACCATGAATCTGAAGAACATTGTCACCACGCAAAGAACCATTTTTTTAAAGAATTTTCTCCCCAATTTAGTCGTTTCCAATTCCACCCACTAGTTAGGACTCCCCCAGTCACATGATACCAGCAGTGCTAGGAGGACAAAGGCTAGCACAGGCTTCCTATGAGTTCTGTGAGCCAATCGCTTAGACGATTGCGCCACTCGGGAGCCGCAAAGAACCATTTAAGCATGAAATGCTTCAATATTGAGCTCGTCATTCTAATCAGAAGCATTACTTTACTAAAGAACCATTGAAGAACCATTTTTATGGACTGTGCATGACATGAATGAGAATGACTTCAATAACCATCATATGAATTGAATTGACTGCTGCTGCAAGAATGCAGAGCCAACAATACTAAATCATTCACACCATAGTTTGCAGAGTGGCACAACTGACCCAACACTGTCTTATAGGAGTGCATTACTGCCAGACAGAGAAGAACAAATCACCTTTTTTGTTCTGCTTTTCTAGTTTTGACAGCACTATATCAAAATATTGACTTACAGTGCTGTGAAAAAGTATTTGTCCCCTTCCCAGTTTCTTCTAATTTTGCATATTTGTCACTCAGATCATCAAACTCCTTTTAATATTAGACAAAGACAACCCATTAAATGCAAAATGCTGTTTTTAAATGATGATTTCATTTACTGAAGGAAAAATGCTGTTCTACCTGGCACAATGTGAAAAAGTAATTGGCCGCTTAGCTACTAAATCAACTTGTTCACAAAATTCAGTTGACTGTTGGGTTCAATTTCACTAGTCAAACCCAGTTATGGCTATTGCCAGACCTGCTTAATTATATTATATTATATTATATTATATTATATTATATTAT